TCAGTGGGACCCTATGTGTGAACCATCGCCAGTCACTCCAGCATCTCAACAGTAAATCATCCACTAGCTTTTCAAGGCCTGTGCTGTTGATTTTAGCCTATAAAACAATTAACAATTGAACAGTTAAAGAGCGATCAACCTTTATCCAATAACATAACAAAATCCTGGGAAATAAAAAAGCTCTTTGTGAATGCAGCACTAAGAAATGAGAAGGAGTAGTGAATGAGTGCTTTACCCGTTTATCCCAGCTTTGACTGTATCTGCAGGTCTCATGAAAGTTCAGCCCAGTTTTTCTTATCAGACCTCTGTGACAGGCTCTCATGCCATGTCCTGCCACATACTTAACATGCCTTTCCTTGTTCACACCCACTGAATGTCAATGCCATCTTTTGTCTTTCAACCAGGCTAAACATAAAAACCAGCAGCCAGAACAATCTAATTATTTATCGCTCACTTAATGTTGTTCTGAAAGTTATAAATCACCTGAACCAGTATGAGTTTACTCCCTTGTTTTCCTGATCTGGAATGATAATAGACTGGTGACTGATTTAAATAGCAGGCCATATCTACATTAAATACATATGCATAAAAATCAACTAAGCTGAAAAACATACACAAAAACACAAAAAACATATCCTTTTAATTCAGAGGTTTTCCAAAAACTTTATAATTCAAAGTAAAAAGTGAAATTGATTTATAAATATTAAATGAACTAAATGTACCACTACAAAGACTACAGTCTTTGGGGACTGAATGTGGACTCTTAGGGAGGAGTAAGGGAGGAAAAGGAAAGGAATATGCTGAGAGGAGAAACAGGAGAACAGCAGCTTTGGCTCAGCTATGAACTTCTCTCAAGCCATAAATTGCTGTACCTATTTTCCGTTTTCCTAGCAAAATATAAAGAAATGCGGGGTGTGTCCATATTTAGCACAGTGCTATATAGGTGAACAATGAGCAGGTCTATCTTGCTGACTCTCCCTGTGGCCATGATGACTGTACAACAGAAGGGTGACGGAGGAAAGTCTGCGTGCCCCTGCACCTGCATTACCTGTGCCACCTTTGGGAACCTTCTCTCGTTTAAACCGCATCCGCGCCAGGCTAAAGCAGCCGAATGCAGCTGAAGTCTCTCACACACCGACAACACTGGCAACTGAGCCGTGCCGTGCCGAGTCGAGTCAGCTAGACAGATGAGATATCAAAGGCATGACACACGGACTCGTCGCTTTCTGAATCAGAAGTAGTAGCTCGGGATCAGACAAATGTCATAAAACACTGCAAACTTCCTCAAAGTGACCACGTCTTCGTTTCAAACACGCGTACTGCTACAAGTGCACACACACCTACACACACAGTGAGCTAGCTAAACAGTCAGGTTATTGATAACGTTAGCTAGCACGTTCAGCTAGCTGGCCAGACAACCGCAGAGCGTGCACAAAAAACTCCCAGTAAACGCAGATACTTCTCGGGCTCACTGTTTAGCGTTAAAGTATCTACAAACGGGTATTATTTAAAACAAATCCCAAGTGAAAAGCAAGGAAACGTTAACTACCTACTGTATTTGGCAGCACAACATCAGCGACGTCGGAAGGTGTCGAGCCGGGCGCTGCCCAGTTGCTAATGGTAACTTCAGCAGCAACAGCAATACTGTGACGGGAACCGGACATACTAAAGCTGTGAAGATAGGTCACCGGCGGAAAATCAACACGGGGGACTCATAGGAAACACGTTATGTTTAAACACAAAGATACTAAAAGTTTCACGAGACCTTGCTTTTAAAGATATTTTTTATTAATGTATAAATACGTCTCACGAATAAAATATGTGCCCTTGCTGTTAAGGCATTACTTTAACTTTCAATAGTTTTCCCATGATTCAGTGCGCTACCTGTACAAATCCCTCAGTACGTCGACTAGTTTCACTCGTTTAATCTAAAATTTTTCAATTCAGTTTTATGTAAATCGCAACAACAGTTGCCTCAAAGCTTCTTCCAAGTGGGCAGTCGTCTACCCCAAAGCAGTTATCTCACTTGTTATTTTTAACCATTACCAAAACTCAAGGCGTAGCTACCACTCCAATCTAAATATATCGACAAAATAATTTGCTTGCTTTGAGACGAAATTAAGGTTTAAAACGGTTAAAAACTCTCTTAAAACTCTCTGAAAGTTATAGCCTAATTCTACCACGTTTGCTATTGCAGTGTTTTCCCTTGTATTTCAGTTACTTTAGTGACATCCCTCTCATATAATGTCTCCGGTTAAATGTATTTTGATAATTTATTCTGGTTAATTTTATTTGACAGTATTAGTTACAATTGCACAGATTTCACAGAAACAAACTCAAATATATATTCAATATTTGTTTGTGGAGAATCAATAGTGATTTTTGTTTGTTTTTGAATGGAGGGCCAGTAACATATGTTTCAAATAACCAGATAAGTGCCCTGATGCAAGTATAATAGCAGGACCTTACTTACTGCAACGCAGATACCATTTTAAATGTATCTTTTTTCCCTGATAAGAACCCATTGTTAACTCTTAGTTTATCTGTTGGCACCATGAGCAACACACTAGACTTTAAACTTGTAGAGGTGTGTGTGAGCGCTCATGTTTAATGCTGCTGTTGGCAGGGGTGACTTTGGTTTACATTCTTTTGCCTCAGCCTTTTCAAATACAATTTATTTTTAAAAATGCTTTTAAACTTTGGTGTTTACTTTGTGAAATGATCTTAGATGAATACGGTATGAGGTTTATTTGGCTACTACAGATTTACAGTGTGTAAATAATAAACTAAATCTGCAGAAATAGCTGTGTGATGATGATCAGAAAAGTGACACCTGCAGCGTCCAAATCCACAACCATCCAGCCAACCACTAAACCAGCCAAACACTAAACCAGCACAGGAGTGCAGGAAGAGTGATCTACAAGGCCATCAGGTGGATGATAATGGTTACTACCACCTGGACAGTGTGGCAGCTGACATGGAAAGATGAACAAACAATCCAAGGAAACAGACTGAAAATCAGTCTAACTTTAAATTAGTGAAAAATACCTGTTGATACCTTTTTTGAAATTCTCATAAAATACACACATGATATATCACCATGAGTAAAGTAAAGTAAAACACATCTGGATCACAAATCATCCAACATTCAATATTGTTCACTGATTTCACCATATTTGCATTACAGTGCAGAGGTTTGGGGCAATACTCATAAATGTTTGCTATCATCAATCTAGGTCCATAAGGATAATCCATAAAACTGGCTACAGAGATCATACAAATCCGCTATTCTTAAAATCAAAAATACCAAAATTCACAGACCTGGTTCATTTTCTCACAATACAAATTATGTATAAAGTAATAAACGACCTACTTCCTGACAGTATTCTCAAATTGTTTTCTAAAAGGAAACAGGGATACAATTTGAAGGGGGAATTAAATTTAAAACATCCTTGTATCTGTATAACATGACAACGTTTTTGCATCTCTGTGTGTGGAGGGAGGCTGTGGAATAGAGTGAAGAACTGAAGCAATGTCCCAGCATGACTCAGTTCAAAATTGTGGTTTTTGCAAAGTAAAGGAAGGAGGTAGGGCTCTGATCGGGTGTTCTCACCCACTATTTTCACAACAGTGATGTGTATATATGTGTAGGTGCACAAGTATGTTTATATAAGTATATATTTAAAGTATAAATGTAAAAATATAAAAATAGATAAATAAATAAAAAACACATGTAACATGTAATGTAATTGTAATGAAGAATTTCTGATGGACAGGGAAACAGGAAGAAAAAGTGTAGACTATTAATTACTAAATAGTGAAAGGGGGTGGGATTAAATAAGATTATGCTTCTTCCTTTTTGAACATGTTATGAGTTATTTATAATTATTGTTTTCCTTTTGTTTTGCTGTGTTTGTTTGTTTGTCTCTTTTTTCTGTTGTTGTACTAATTTAACATGTTCAAAATAAAGATACAATACAATACAATACATCTTCTGTGGATGCTTATTAGATGTAAGTTGATTAGATATTTATACTGGTGGGGATGCACTGTTGCTATTATTAACGGTGATTTCACCCCAAAATATGACATTTACTGATGACAATGGCTGATTGTGTGATTAAGGGGGATAAAAGTTATAGGGTGAGACAGAGGCCTATGATCTGCTATAGCAACACCTAAAAGGGCAAGCCAAAAGAAAAAGCAGGACATTAAATTATTAGACTTGAATTTCATAAAATTGCTCCATCTAAAAAGTTTTTTATTCTCCATGGTTATTTCTGATTGCACATATGTATTAATCAAATTTTACACTATTGTTATTCTGTATTTGAAGTTTTCCCCCAATTAGACTTAGGTTGCTTTAATCAGTTAATCATCAGCTGTAACTGAAAACACCTTAGTTTGTGATTCTAAAAATTATTTTCCTTTGAGAAGAAAATAGAAGTCTGTCTGCATCTATATAAAAATATAATTGTTTTACATTAAAATACAGCGTTTGTTTTAAAAAGATCAATAATTAATTAAGTTCTTTTGTTTTTTTTAACACGTTGATAGTATTTTCTTTACACACACGCATACTTGAACGGTGTCATTACACACACTGACCAGCAGAGGCGTTATATCACTAACGGTTATGGACAGGAAGCGCAAGGAATTGTGGGACTTTTAGTTCTCAGTGGTGGACGATTACCCTGATAACAGAGCTAAGAACAAGAAAAAACATTTACCGTTGAAAATAAAACAGCATCCGTGAATTCATCATATGCAAGAGCTTCGTGTGCTCCGCGGCCGGCTAATCTCGGATGGATTTAGTCGTCGTACGAAGGAGAGCGCCTCACTTTTGCTAAAAAATAAACAGGAAGTTGTTAGCGTTGTGGGACGTGTAGTTCCGCTTGCAGGCCGCCGATCTTGATAACATAGCATAGAATAAAGAAACAAAAATAAAATAATCTTAAGTTCACCCGAAGGCCGCAGATTTAGCCTCGGCGCTGAAGTAAATATGCCTGGGTTCACCTGCTGTGTCCCCGGCTGCTACAACAACTCGCACCGGGACCGGGAACTGCGCTTCTACACGTTTCCTAAGGACACCGCTCTCAGAGAGCAGTGGCTGAGGAACATCTCCCGGGCCGGGGTCAGCGGCTGCTTCAGCACCTTCCAGCCGACTACGGGGCATCGAGTCTGCAGCGTGCATTTCGCCGGCGGGAGGAAAACCTACAGCATCCGGGTGCCGTCCCTCTTCCCTCTGCGAGGGGTGAATGAGCGCAGGAGTCGGCGGGGCAGAGGCAGGAAAGTATCCGCGGCGGTTCCCGCGCCCGCCGCAGCTGCGACCTCCGGAATTGTTGTCACCAGCTCCGTGCTGGGCAGCACCGCAGAAGGAGCCGAGGCCAACGCAGGCGGGGAAGCGAGCGACGACAGCATCACCGTGGTGCAGATTGGCCAAAACGGGGAGTACTTGGGCACCGCGCGACTGCCCGTCCAAACGGAGGGGACATCTTACACGGGGCAGGTCGGCGGTACAGCCGAGGTAACGGCTGGCGACTCACAGGTGGACACCTCATCCGCGGCGGCACCGGTGCAGTATGTCAGCGTGACCAGCAGCCCGCTGGACCACTCGTACTCTCTGACCACTGGCACCACGTCGGCCGAGCTACTGAGGAAGCTGAACGAGCAGCGGGACATCATCGCGCTCATGGAGGTAAAGATGAAGGAGATGAAGGCGACCATCCGCCAGCTCCGGGTGGCGGAGGCCAAGCTGCAAGAGGAAGTGCGGGAACGGGACCGGTTGCTGTACGGCCACACGGTGGCTGCTAACGTTCGGAAGAAAATCTGATGGGATGGGTGAACATCCCCGGAGACGAGCAGATATACAGACTCAGACTGACGGAGAGCAGATGGACAGCAGATCCAGCCCCGATTTCTACGAAACTGAGAGCGATGACAATTTATTTTCAAGTAGAGCTTATTTTTATTTTTATTTGCGTTTAATTTTTTTTGTAGGCTGGCTAGTTGATGTAGCTGATAGTAATAAACTTACTGCTAATCTAATTGAAACATGCACAGTCTGCCTCTGGTCTGCAGCCAAACCAAGATCACATGAATCCATTCAGACAAGACTCGTAGTTTGCACAGACTCACATTTCCGACTTATTTATGACGGGACAGACTGAGGGGACACCGGCGAAGGACATGCTCAAAACTGCCTAGCTGCATAAAATGTTTTTTGTCCTTAGGCTGTTTTTGTTTTGTTTTTCCAACAGAGTTTAGGAGCTCTTGTTGCAAAAAAAAAAAAAAAAGGATAACACCTCACAATAACATGCAAAAATGCGCCAAGATGAAGTATTTATAGGATTTTTTTTTAACCAAAACACTAATCTTGGCCTGCTTAGGGTTGTAGTGAACTAAATAAAACTCTACCGCGACTGTTTCAGAGTTGCCTTTAAAGGTACCTTAAGATTATTTCCATTATTTTCGTTGCTAGAGGTATTTTTGCAACTGAGAAGAAGAAAAAAGACTTGAAGAAATTCCTCAAAGCTTTAAAGGGCACTTAAAATTAATTCTTATTAAAGGATGCTTCTTGGGGACGTTTTTTCCCCTAGTTTTGGGGGAAGCAGCACCTACTTCTTTTTCATTTTTTGGGTGTGATTTAAACATTTTACGTGCCTCTTCCCTATTCTTCACACAGATGTTTAGTTCCCACATATTTGTCCTGTTCATCAGTGTTTTAAGCACAGGCTATTACAAACATTTCATATTTTTGAAGCTGATCTGGCAGCTCATTGTTTAAGACTGGCAAGTTATTTCTCAAGCCAACAAGCATTTTGTCTCATAGCAGCATTTTAGAGACTTCTGGTGGGGGAAAAAGGATCTGACAGTGTTTCTGTTGTTTTCTTTTTAAACCTTCATTGATATTGGGGGGGTGGAGGGGTTTGGCTCATGTGATCTCATCCCCGGACTGCGGTGAGGGGTTTATTTTAAAATGACATGAAGATTTGCAGTGGCTCTTGTAAGTAATATTACAAATTTTTTCAGCTGTGTTGAGTTGTGGACAAAATAATACAATTTGTATGAAATAAACTTATAAAAGACTCGTGTTGGAAACCTTACAGTTTACGATCGTCGCGTAAAGTGCAGTGATCTTAAAATTATTCACACCCAAAATTTAATTGGATTTGAATTTTCCCCCGAGTGGGTGACAGGTCTGGTCTGCCAGTTTACATCATCATCATCATTGTTTAGCACTAGTGGTGCCTTCACAGATGCACAGGATAGATAATCTGTGCAGATTAATAGCTCTGCATCATAGAGATGCTGACTTTGGGTCTACAAATCTCTCTTTAACTCACAGGATGCATAGTATTACTTCTATCAGGAAGTTAAAATTTTGAGGGGTCAGAAAACAGCTTTATATTTTACGTCACTGTCCAGGCTGGATCTCAAGAACATATTAGAGTTTTTGGATCTTCTTTGTGTGTTTTCCTTTCTTTTCATGTCAGAGTTTTAACTTGCTTTTGTGGCTCTGTTTATAAACCCGTGCTCTGACTGTTGTTTGAATCCAGCACCACCTGAAAACCTGAATGTGATGGCCATCTTTGGCCTGGTGAAATCATCTTTCTAATTACACTGTATGTTAAATTCTATTTCTAAATGTCTGAGAAGCTGTTTTTACCAACTTAGCTAAAGTGAGTGAGAAGTGTTTTTGGCCCCACAGTATTTTGTTGCTCTTCCCCAAAGTTTTACACAGTTTTTTGCTGGCATTACATTCAAAATAACAGAGATAGGACTTTATTTAAAAAATAAATCACGAAGCTGAAATGCACAAAACTGAAATTTCTAATATAATATTGCACAAAGAAAACAAATGAAATGTTTTCTCGCTTAAATGTAATGAGTGCCTTCTGTTTATGGCTTACACTGAAACTGGGTTGTATAATGTCAGAACAAAAGATGAATTTTTTATATATCTCTCTCTTTGCTAGTGTAAATAACAAGCCTAAACGGATTAAAGAACCAACTCACCAAAGAGAAATCACTCCTCAAAAAATGATCTCTAGTCATATTTTGCTTCAGATTTACTAAATTGTTAAATTAAGACCCAATTTGTCAATAAATGAGGATAATTACTAGAAAATAGTGGATTCAAATTACACATTCTGACTTCTTGCTTTAATGCAAATGTGATTTCATTTTTAAAACAGCAAAGTGTCATATTTTAGGTGACTGGAGGTCAAAGAAACTGATTCGTCATCTTGTCCAGTCCAGAGTTTCAGGACAGGAATAATCATCTGTACAGTCGGAGCCTGAAGCATGATTTTTACCCTCTAGATGGCGCTAGGATAAAAGCTTGAAGAAGAGAAGCTTCAGCTCCTCTCTTTATGACCTAATTTGCTTGATCTATCTATGTGTGTCTGCTGGCCAATCTGATGCTCATTTGCTTAATTGTTACAGATTTTAAGGAAGTGAAATTATCTAATTATCTTAACACGAACATAGGCATGTAATGCAGTTCCACCGCTCACACTGGAATGGGTAATTTTTGAACACCTAATGTATTAATGTGAAACAGAGAAAGGGGGAACGATGGATGAATGGATGGAGAGAGAGCATTGGAAAGAGCGAGGATCCAGATCCTAATCTCATCTGGATTTATCTTTTCTACTCCCTACAGTGTTGCGTAAGGCCTTAATCCAATGCTGTCAATCAAACTTACACAACTCTATCTTCCTTCTTGATGGCTGTTGCCGTTTACCACTGCAATCAGGCCAAATGACATCTTTTCAAGGCAGGTTTCATTGTTTAGGTACAACAATGAAAGCAACATGTGATTCTGAAATCCACTGAAATAAGACTTTCTGTATATAAACATGGAAAATCTTTGAAGTGTGTCAGAAAGGGTGCCTTTATTATAAGTAATCCAGGTCAAAGTTTATAGTTTTGCTGGTCATGATCTAAAAAAAATTAAGGAAGCAATGTTAGATTTATAGAAAAGAAAGTTGCATGACATCATTTTGCAATTTCCTATAGCTATATAATAATCCACCTTTATCTTTCAGTGTGTGAGTCTAGATCAGGCGGGGTCATCCTTGGACAGCTGACAGTCTGCAGGATTGCCATTTAAAAACTCTGTCATATCCTACTAATGCTGCTACTGCATATTTTGTTTTTAGTGTGAATACTTAGTGTGCTACATGTATATCAATATTCACATCTTGTGTATATTGTTTTACTTGTAAACTGAAATGCTTGAAACTTTTTCTACACTATTAATTAGGCTTTCAGTTTCCTTTAGGAACATACTTTTTGATAATAATAATTACTGAATAATATTTAATTATTTGAATAATTCTTTTGACATTTTATATTGAGCTTCTATTCATCAGATTGTGTTTAAATACTTTGTGACACTTTAAAGCTTTGACTTCCTGTATTAAAAGAATAAGAAAAAACTACATTGTCCTTTTAAAACAAATCGAATAAGGAATATTATATCTGGAATCTTCTGCGACCATCGTCTCAACTGCTCATGACAAAGCAAATCGCAGCTCTCTGCAGAGCTGTCCAGGAAAGAGCTGGTGGGATCATCACACAACAAGCTGGGTGTCCTGCGTGAGGCAAACAGGACAGTTTCGCAACAGCAAAGGAACCGTGCATGGATCACGGCTCTGAGCTAAGTGAAAGAAGAGGAGGAGGAAAACGGTCAGCGCAGCACTTCACAAAAGTTGTCAGCAGGAGTCCTCTTTGAGGAGAATCTCACAACAAAAGTTGTTTTCAGTGTGGATTGGTTTTAATTTAAACATAAGGTCCAAACATTTAAATATAGCCTCAGGATAAAGTGCAGCCATTCAGGGGTGTGGCATTAGGGATGGGCACCGGTTCTGACATAAACGGTAGTAACCAGACCGAAAAGCAGCGCACATTTCGGTGCTTTATTTCGGTGCTTTTTTTTCCTGAGCTGTGATACACTTCTAGCCAATCATTTTACGTTTCCGAGGATAGTAGGCGGGGCCAGGTACGTACGTTCTTTTATGCAGAGCTACAGATTAAAAATGTCCA